AGGGATGCGTGTTAGGAATAATTAATTTCTTCTGTCTAAGTCATATTTATAAGATTTATTTGTTTAGCAAACATGATTTAGCTACAACTGCCATTTTTCTGCTTGTTTTTCCTCCAGTGTTTTCATTTCACACTGCACTCCTGTTGTTTATTCCTTTATCCACCTTTGAGCTAAAATCTTTAACTACATCTTTTTTCTTCTATTAGCCCTCACATGCACTGCTGTCTTTGAAGATTTAATCAGTCAGGGTTTCTTGATTAATCCCTTTTTGTGCCTTTTCACAGTAAATTATTAGAGTTATGATCGCTGGCGGGATGGAGAGGGCAGCATGCAGATTTCTGATGGAGCAGAGTCCCCGGGTATCTTCATTAGCCTGATTATTCACATCCAAACACACTCCATCAACCAGTTTACATGCAAATAGGTTAATTTTATTCCAGTTCTCTGCTCACTCTACTGGCATGCCAGATTTAGCCGATGGTCTCACTAAATGTCTGCTTGCTTCAGTCTCTGTTCTTATAGTCTTATAGATTGAAATATAAGATGAATAACTGATCAATATTTTATTTAGTGAAGGTTTTACAGCAAATTATTTGACTCAGAGGGCTGAATATTGAATATTGTCCATTCTTCTCTCTCAACATCAGTTTTTTTTTTATTGAATTTCTGTATTTTGCTGCCACTTGAGGTTGTCTACTGTTGACACCTAGTGGCTAAAAAATCATGTTTCATGCGGTTCAGTATTTCATTGAAGTAACCACCTTGAACCTCTTGATGGCAGTGCTGTTTTCTCTTCTGTGGATGAAACTCTGACTAATGCATAATCATGACAGCTGAGGTTAAGACACATTTTTATTATCTTAACTGTAGGTGCATTTATTGCTTCCTCGGATGCTGTAGTGTTTTGCATATTGCTGCACAGCAGTGACGATAAAGAGCTGATGCACTGACTGCCCCTCTCCCCTCAGGATTAGTGAAATAATGCAGCCGTTCAGACACTGAGCTCTAATCATCAGCTTAATCGTGTTTGATGCCAAATAACACAACCACGGTGCATGCATGATATGGGTGTTTTCGCAGACTTGTAAGTTAGATAAACACTTGAAATTTGTACGCTAAAAAACCAGCACATACACATTTTCACCCTTTAATGGAGCTAAATTAAAACAGAAGGAAGATGCAGAAAAAAATACAATATTTCGTTTTTTCTTATAATTTGTAAGAGTGTTTACCTCAAGGAAATAATCATCTTTTACAATTGCATTTATATAAATGTAAATGTGTCCTTATTGTTTGCTATTCGGTAAAAAAAAAAAAAAAAAAACTGAATTTCTCCATTTTTGTTGCTGTTGTTCTTCTTAACCTATAGTCAACAAACCTTTTTTGATTGTAAATTATAGAAAACATTTGAAAACTAAAGATATCCTGAAAAAAGCATTACTTTTTTTTTTCTGGCAAAGTGTGTCATTCAGATTAAAAGCCACAGGGGTCAGGGGTCAAAAAGGCTTAGAGTGAATTTAGCCATCTCTTTATCTTGCCTCCTTTTCAGAAAACAAATCTTTTCTTTCTCAAAGACGCCACTCTATCAAATCTCTGTCATTTATTATGTGCATAAAGAGTTTCATGCCTGTTTGGCTTTAAATGCTCCGTCTATGAATCTGTGTGTCCAATAAGCACAAAAAGCTCCTTTTTTGTTGTTATTCATCCTGCTTCAAAGTTAATTTTCCTGGTTTGTAGCATAAATGCATCACAAATACACTCTCACTAACACAGACACACAGCTTACAGTAATCCTTGTAAAAACAAAGAGATGTATTTCTCTGAACACAGATCCAGAGTGGGATGTTCATCAGCATGTTTATCAGGATTAAGAGATTGTCATTCATAAAATAACCTCTAAAATCATACTTTTAATTCTCCCTTTTTACGATGCAAATGCTGCACAGAAACACAAATAAAGATAAAAAAATTAAAAAAAAAAAAACAGGACAAAACCACTAGTGACCATTCCCACCACTGAACCCTGACCCAGTGAGACCTTGTGACCCCTTTACCTGACCTCTCAGTGGGTGGCCTTTACACTGACCAGCAGGAGAAGTGGCTGCTCTCATATCAGCTGTTTTTTATGAGATTTTTCTCATTATTTTATTATTGATCTTGAAGAGGCTTCCTCTGCATATAGATAAAGGGTTGGTTATATTCGTGTGAGTATTTTGTTGTGGTTAGGGTAGATGTCAGGACAGGATTATGCTGATCCGGGGTCAGTGAAGAGGGAAGTCTGCACAGGCGGGAAGACACGTTAATCATAAATCTTTAGCTTACAATCCAGCCTCATGCACCCAGCCTTCATTAAAGGATGGGATTAGTGCAGCTGAACCACAGAGAGCTGCAGAAAGAAATGAGGATAAAAGTATAGGAAGTAAAAATAAATGCTTCTATCTATCTATCTATCTATCTATCTATCTATCTATCTATCTATCT